TCAAAATTTACAAAGAAAAATAATTTTAATCCCCACCAAACAGACTTTTATTGCAACTAGAGCTCAGTTATTATTGAAATACGGGTTGGGCTAATTGCTTAAAGTTGGACCTCTTTGTCAAAGTATGATTTAAAGGAATAAACACACAAATATGTTTGATAATGATTATGAGAATTGAATTTTTGATCGTTAGAGAGAAAAGTGAATTCCACCTATAAGTAAAAAAAGTAAAAAATGATAGCTAAAATAGTAAAATAACGATTAAAAAATTAATTTTTTGAAGTGAAAAATTGCTACCAAACATTCACGTGATATTTCTTTATTTACTGCTTTTTAATGACCGAAACTTGATTCGAGCCTTGGAACCTTGAGGTGCAGATCTGTGATTAACTCTTGGTTTTAATATACGCGTCGCAGAGGATCCCCGCCGCCAACGAAGACCTGACTTCCGCCAAACGGTTTTTCCACCAACTTTTCAAATCAATCTGACCTTTCCTTTTAATTTCTCTCCAAAGGAATTCGTCATTCAATTAATCATTTCTCATTTCGGAATTTTTTTCGCAAAAAAATAATGATTTCCAATTGGTGTTAGGGCTTTTTAGAAATTTATTTTTTGGGGCCTTTTTTCTTAATTCAGCATTTGGCCCGATGGACGCTGCTGGAACTCATAGAAAATCTTTTGGCCAAACCGAGATTAATTGGGATAAGTAAGCTTCTTCAATCTAATTTCTTTTAAATTTTTAGCTGTTGATTATTAATCTGTTTTCTTATATGCGTGTGTATTTATTATGTATCTATTAGCTTATAAATACGTACAAATACACACATTTCCCTGATAATTGCTAGTAATTTGATTATTGTGAAAATATTTGAAGTTGTCGTTTTCTTTTAGTATGGTAAATGGAAATTATGGAAAGGAATGCTGATTTCGAGTCGTTGTAAATGCATGATAAGTTGAGGTGTAGGTTTAATTACATGCCTAATCGGAAAAGCATTCGTGAATGTATATTTATGATTTGCATCTGGAAGAAATTATTGAGATGAACATGGAGTCATTAGATAATTTTGCAGTTAGTTCGTGATGGCTGTTCATTCAAGGGTTTCAATTATGCACTATAAAGGGGGTTTGAGGGTATTTTGCTCTTGATTGCAAACATTTAATTTCGTTACGTTCACTTATCAGCCTGAGACAATATTAACTTTTCCTGCAATGGAAATCTAATGGAAGAATTTATCTTTCAAAAGGAAGGTGACTTCTTTTTTCTTGGGCAGCACGGGTTAGAAGCCTCTGAATCAGAATAAGAATATTACCAAATTGTGTTTTATTTTCTCATTTTAATTATAGTTCTCAGTTTCATGTTGCCTAACACAGCCTTTAACGAGATGTATTAAGAAACTCGGACTCTGTTTTTGAACTTTTGTCTTTGTTAACACATGGTTTTTAATTTAAGGTTTTTTAATGTTAATGTTCTCCCTTGCAGGCTTGAGAAGACCAAATTCTATGTTGTTGGGGCTGGGATTTTTACTGGACTTACTGTTGCACTTTATCCAATTTCGGTTGTGAAGACGAGGATGCAGGTTGCTTCACATGATGCTGTAGAAAGAAATGCATATTCCGTCATCAAAGGTCTACTAAAAACAGATAGGATTCCTGGTTTATATAGAGGTTTTGGCACAGTCATTACGGGAGCAATACCTGCTAGAATTATATTTCTCACTGCATTAGAGACTACGAAAGCGGCTTCTTTCAAGATGGTGGAACCATTCAAATTATCAGAGCCTACACAGGCAGCTATAGCAAATGGTATTGCTGGCATGTTGGGATCTCTTTGTTCACAAGCCGTGTTTGTTCCAATTGATGTGGTATGTTGGGAGGTGTTCATATTATAAATACTTTGGTCAAAACTACTTTTTATCTACGCATTTTGGGGGCCTACAAATACTACCTACTTATTCAACACTCATTTATATCCGTTTTATAACTTAAACCAATTATAGTGCCTTCCCAAACATGTGATTTTGATTTAAGTTCAACTATACCTTCAACTCTGTACTTTTACTTTATTTGTTTCTCCTCTGATTTGTTATTGAATGTTTGAGCTGGAATATAAGAATATATGTCATTTTTATAATGATTCTATTTTGACATTGCGTCTCTCCTGCTATCTTCTAAAATTCTTGCTTCGGCTTACTGTTTTCTTGCTACTTTTGTCACTTATTGGAAAGCTCAAAGTCCATTTAGTTGATCTTTTTTAACAGGTTAGTCAAAGGTTGATGGTGCAAGGATATTCTGGCCATGCTACTTATAATGGTGGCCTGGATGTTTCTCGTAAGATCCTAAAATCTGATGGAATTCGAGGATTTTATAGAGGATTTGGTCTCTCTGTTATGACTTATTCCCCATCTAGTGCCGTATGGTGGGCCAGTTATGGCTCAAGTCAACGCGTAATTTGGAGGTATACTATTTGACCATCTGTTAGAATAGTCTCGACCCACCTTTTTCTTTTGTGTTTTTCTATATGCCTGCTAGTTTAATGCTTTATCTCTAGACTTTATTTGTCTAATAATCTTAAGAATCATCACTCCTCACCTCTAAACAAATCTATATGGTACACTTTTTTAGGTCATAACTTTATTTTGTATGTTCTATTTTCTTTCTTGTTTCACTCTCACATGCATTACCTATTGTTAAGACTGGGTTCTCAGATCTCATATAAAAACCTAGTAGATATTCAATACTATGGTAAGATATATTAATCTGTTACATATTATTTTGGTGGATAGTAATTTGGATAGAAGAACGATTAAGAGAATTTATATTTGGTTATTTGCCTCAGACATGGAAACAAATACCTGCATTGTGAGAACATTGGAGTAATAAACACGAATCTTTTGATAATGAGCAATAAATGGATCTCTTATAGGAAATATATTTTTTTTGTGCAAAATCTATTTTCTGTTGGTTTCTGCTTTCCTCTTACAAACTGGGTTATTCATTCTCGTGATAAAATTCACATCTCTAACGTTTCTGGCAGGCTCTTAGGTTATGGCACAGAGCATGATGGACCTGCTCCAACTCAAGGGACCATTATGTTGGTTCAAGCTGGGGGAGGGATTTTCGCGGGTGCTACTGCATCTTGCATCACAACACCATTGGATACTATCAAGACCCGCTTACAGGTACAATGGCACTATTCATTTATCTCTCGTGTTGGTTTCAGTGCATTTGCTTGCTTTTGGTATATTGTTGATCTCATGCAATTTGAACTTTTTTCGATATTCTATGTCTTGAACTTACTGTGGATGTAATCAATTTAATGGTTTTTGCCATATAAATTTTTATGTAAAATTTATTTAGTGACTTTCTTAAAATACTAAGAGAGCGCAGAGGGGGCCTCAGCCTCTTGTCAAACTGAAACTATATGAATTATTGGAAAAGAGTTTCATAAATTATAACTAAATCACCATATGTAGTATATCCAGCAGATGGCAGCGAACTTTGGCGAAGCAAGTCGAAAATTCAAAATAAAAAAGAAGAGCAAGCTTTCGTTTCTAATGTTTCCTTTTGCATTCTTTATTTATTTAGCTTCTCTTACAGTTCCTGCTTCTATTCGATCATGTCATTATGGCAGCTTAGTTCACATTGTCTCTTTCCTCTTCTATCTTTAAGATTTCATTAGGGCTAGCCCCATGGGACCGTGGAATAGAAGACAGGTGGATTATAGAGGTAGAGGGAAATCAAAGGTTTCTGATTTTCTGATTGTTCGCCTTTGCATATGTGAGGTGTTGTTATCGTAGACCTCCCTTCCTGGAAGTTTCTCAGCCTGGTCAAGTTCATAATATCTACATTCAAGAGTTCCCTGGAGACAAGGTGACACCTGTCTCTGGGTTTTGGAATTTGAAATCAAGAAGTATTATCACACTATGTATTAATGCACGATATCAAGCCTCACTAGGAGTTCTCCTTCCCCTTTGGAGAGTTTTGTATGCTCTCCCTTCATCCGGGCCTTCAAATGAACTTGTGGATGGGAAACACTAACCAAAGCCATGGGGGACCAAGGAGTGTTGGTCTAATTGCAGTAGAAATCGATTTTCACATCATCACAAACAAAAATTATTTTTGTGCTTTTAATTTATTATTCTTTTCTGTACGACGAACAGTAGTTCAAATTCTCATCGTGATCATTTTGCTATTTGATTGCATCACTGGATCTATTTATTGGAATTTTAGACATGGCATGATTGAGTTTCAGATTAAGACTGTTTATGCAAGGCTTCTGATTTTATTTTAACTTTTTTGGGTGTCTTGCAGGTGATAGGGCATGAAAAGAAACCCACTGCTAGACGAGTAGTTAAAAATTTGATGGCTGAGGATGGATGGGCTGGTTTATATAGAGGTCTGGGCCCAAGATTTTTCAGCATGTCTGCATGGGGAACTACAATGATACTGGCCTATGAGTATCTAAGTATGTTTCTCTCATTTCTCTTCTTAATTATTTATTTCTCATTTTGTTGTCATCATCCATGGTTTCTCCATCAAGCTGTGATAATGGAATTATGAATTCCTCAACGATCAACATGGTATTTTCCATTAAACAGATATTTCATGTAGCTTATGTTGTTTAATGCTTCATACTGCTGTTACATTTTTGTCTGTCACCAATTATCTTTTGGGTTTGTCATCAACGTCTGTAATACATCTTGTTACACTATGAAATACGACGTCAAAAACTTTAGGAAATTTTTAGTATTTGGATACGTCAGTAGTTTCATTTAACATTGATTTACAACATTTTTATATCATTGCTTTTAGATACATGTTGACAAATTTCTTTATATATTTTCGTCTAATTTTATGACTGCGAAGCTAATTCTCAAGTTTACTTTTATGATAATTCATTGTGTTATTCTGATTTGCAGAGCGCTTGTGCGCGAAAGATGAATAGCTCATCGGTTAAGACCCCCTACAGGTGCAATTTTTAGGTGGCGGCAGAGATTTTGCTTCAACCTCTCCAACTCTAGATACGTTATCCGAGATATTGTTGAAATGCTTACTTTACAATGTACCAGATGGTAGCCTTCTGTGACTATAGTGGAAAGCCAAAAACCTTGTCCCTAGATTTAATATACTTGCCAATTTATACAAATGTTAATGCTGTAATTCTTTTTGATTCCAACACATTATTCTTAGTTCCTGTAGTTGAAACATTCTTAAAATGTAAAGAATATGTTGTTAATCTGAGATTTTGGCTTA